CATATGAACTTAATAACATTGCTATTAGTGTTACTAGTTGGAAACTACTTTAAAAATTTAAAAGAGTGTTTACATATTTTACTTCAGATACGATGGTTTAGATCGTAATATATGGGCAATTGCTTTAACGTAAGTTGTGTTATTACTAGATTTGCGTCGGATTAAAGTACATTCCCCTGAGACTGACGTCAAAGGTTATTTACTGGGGAATGGACTTTGGAAAATAAACCGAATGTAAAATATATATTTTTTAAATAAATAAATACTATCGCAGACATTTGTACGCAACTTTCTCTTCCAAACTAAGCAACGCTTGTACATTTGATACTAGAAAACTGATAAACATACTTTTTTTTAAATATATACATTTACTTATTATATTAGGAACACCCAGACACAGGCAAAATACTATGTTCATGACACAACATTTTTCAGGCGCAAGAGGCAGATTCACTACTCCCTACGCCAATCGGGTCATCAAAATATCTTTTTAGGATTTTTATATACATATCTTAAAGGTAAAAATGGAACATTCAAAGCCAGAACACCCTTTTTTAATTATTAATAACGAGCGATTACCTCTTACACTGTACTTATTTCCGCATAATCTTAGACCTCTGAAGTAATCACCGCTTCTCGTTGGTATTATATTAAATATTATGTCAATACGAATAGTTTTCACCATGTAGCCAGCTATGCAATAGTTTTTCGATGCGTTGACAAAAGTTTTGAATTTCAATTTATATTTTGCCTGTTCATCGTAGCTATAAGTACAATATTTAACACGTTTCATCGTAGAAGCGAACATTGTTATTTATCCCATGACCGCGATATACAACATTCGCTGTACGATAATTAAAAATACAGCTCTGCATTAAGACACTCGTCTATACAAACCTCCTATATTTCTTCGTCTGGGGTGCCATACAGCCCTACTATTTAAATTACGAATACCGATTTTCCTGAGATTACATGCTATGTTGATACCAAAATAAGATAATTATTCAACATGCGTGTCTGCAATCGCCAGTGATTGTAGTATATTATTTATATATTGTGTTTGATGACTCTTCAGTGAACTTTGCGCCTACTTTTATCCTGCATCTCCAAAATCCAGCGACCATTATTACCACGAAACATCCGGGACTTTTTGAAAAGTTCTATAAACGTTTGAAACTGTGGAACTTTCACAATCTTTATTGAATGATGTTCTATTAAAGCTTCATCGAATGTTATGCCCTCTATTTTGAGAACGAGTTTGGCCCCGATGACTTTTGACAATGTGCTACCAAGTGTTTTTGCCTTTTGTGTTGGCCTTAGGGGCCTTTACCTTAGTTTCGCCGGACTTGAGGTGGCCTGGCGCTCTGGGTGCCTAGCGTGAATCGTATATATATAGTATAGCGGCGTATCATTATTACGCGTTATGGTGACTAAGGACTACTATGGCCGACGGCTCAGGCCGTCACGCTATTAGCTTCACCGATTTGGAAGGTCGCCAAGCGCGCTTAGGGCGCTTTGGCGGACGCTCTATGGAATGACTAGGCTTGCCCCGGCACTCAATACGCGTTTAGCATTACGGGTTGAAGGTGCGAATGAGTTAACTGAGCGAGTCGATGGGGTTACCGGTTTATTTTATTAGTGCTGGTTGTGTTGCCGGTTTAGCACATCTAGATTCCACGATACGCGGGTTAGGTTGGGCCTAGGCGGGAGCCATGGGATTCTGTCACACGAGGCGCAGAGGAGGGAAAGAGGTGGCCGTTGGAATTGGCTGCCTTCTTACAGTCTGAGCGCGTTAGAGCACCTAAAGTAATTGGCTGTATGACCGGCAGAGGATACATGCGGGAGAGCCGTATTTAGACAGAAGTGTCTTGTCCCTCAGTCAGGGACATTCGGGGGTTCCATGGTCTCCCAGGCACTTTACGCACCTGGGCCGCTGATGTAGTTGCGGACAGCGTGCCCATAGTTTTGGAACTTATGGCATTGGCCGGGGATCCTTTGTGAGGAGGGTCTACGCCGATATTTTCTGGACTTAATACCGTTTTGATATTAAATATGGATTTGCCTTCTGGCGTGAGTTCAAGGTGGACCATGACCATGTCAATCGGGGATCGCATGCGCTTAATTTCATGCGGTAGACTGCATGTACTAGGGGGTTTTGTTCCTTAAGGGAATATATTTTCCGTCGAGATGTTATTTGGTATTCGCTTTATGACTACGCGGAGTATGCGTTCTTTTGCGGGCGTGAAGGTGTGGAAATACACCTCTTTGTCTCGCAGGAATTTGGAGACTAGCCTGTGGGCGTCGGCTGTTTCTAGATGTAATTTTATGTCATGACTAGTTGTGGTGGCACTAAATTTGACTATTTGATAGGGCAGATACAATCATAGGCCTCTTTTCGGTAGTCTGTATGAATAAGGGCGGGGGGCGCTTGTCTTGTGGCACACGGGCGGCAGCGGGAGGCGCGAGGGTTGCTTGTGTTGCAACCGGAGTAGAGGGGGTTAGTTTCGCTGAAAGCGATTGGATTGGGGCCTTGGTGCCTTTACGGGCGGTACGGGGGACTGGGCCGTTGAGAACGGCTGCGAAGAGCGCTTTTTGGGTGAACAAGCCGCCTTCATCAGCGTCAGGAGAGTACCAAGTGTGTTGTTAGTTTTGCACTTCTCGTAAGTGTAGACGCGCTATTTGGCAGTTGTTCTAATAACTATGTGTACGTATACCGCCGTTGGGCCGAACAGTCCATGAGCCCAATCTACGTTTGTCCACTTCCTCAATGAAGAAGTTACGCAGACGATATTTCTGCACGCTTGGGTCTATTGTTACCTTGCTCCGTTTAAACCCATAACACTGACGATTTTCGGATCTGTCGAGGAAACGTTTTATTACTTTCAAAATTGAAAATAATTCCCTTAATGTACTGGTTAATTATATATGGGTAAATTACCGTATGATTAAATAGTATTTTTGTTTATTAATGATTTATATTTGGTGTTAAGAGTTCCTTCGGGTCACAAAGTGATATACACATATAACTGTACAGATATGACAAACATTGCCAACTGTTTATAAATTCCGCCGAAAACAAATAAGTATTAATGTTTTAACTATGTCCTGAAAAAATTAAATAGATCCATACGTTTACGGATAAGCCACAAAATTTATTTCACGGGACGTTACTTTCAATTAAGGTAGCTATTATATCTGTAAATCGAAGTGACAAAGGGTAACAAGGATGACCTCAAACACTCTTAACTTTGTTGTGTATATATATATATTCAGCGTGTCGTTACCATCGCAACAATAAATGAACACACGTCTAACGCTACTTGCCAATAATCATAAAAAATATTAACGTTAAACAAAATCCATAATTAAAAAAAATATTTTTCGAACAAACTAATTAAGTAAAACAGAAACAAAATTTGTAACACCTATACCACTCACGCCACAGCGTCATATTACAAGCATCTCCTTCTAAAAGTATGCTTTGTCTCTTTTAAATTCATTCAACCCATTCATATGCTTTGTGACCTTTACGTTACGCTTTTATAGGTTTGGAAAATTTAATAACTCTGTAAATATTGATGTTTAAAGAATTTAAATGTTTAATACGACTTTAAAAAATTATCCCCTATATGTGTGTTCATTTATTGTCGCGATGGTAACGACACGCTGTATATATCTGAGCTTAAATAACTAATATAAATAACTAAAATGAATCTGAAGTGATTGTAGGTACTTTACTTTCGCCAATGATCGTTACTCATTTTGTATTTGTAAGAAGTTTTACACTATTTTTATACTTCTTTTAGTTAAACAGTTTTATTTGTATTGTGTAATAATTTTTCTAAATAAAATAAATAAATAATTCATAACTTGTTTACGAAGAACCAACGACCCACGTGGAATTCCCTGATGTGCGTTACATACACAATGATAAATTGTAAACCGTAAGTAAGAGAACATGGCGACACTCACAAGTAATTAATGGACTACTCGAATGTTAGGCATCCCTTCCACGAAACTGAATTGAACTGAATTTTGAAATGTTACCTATTATTTTGTCTAACATTACATATCTACTAGTACGGTAATAGTACTCAAATGATACGTTATGTTATGTTTAAATTTCGAAAAAAATAATTTGTTTAGTTTTATTTTCTTTTTGGAATGTAAGATTATACATATTAAAATGTAACGTGAACCACTAACTCTCAACAAACTTTTTAAAACATAGAGTACTCATGTAAGGTAATTTCTCCTATTAGAAATTGACTGAATTATAAATAAATCTTTCGATCTATGTATATTTTTATTATAATATAAGACAACAAAGAAAGATAAAAAAGAGAAACAACTGGTACTAAATAGTCAATCAATTTCTGAAAAAGAACGTCAGTTACGTAATATTTTTTGTATTTTGTTTATAAATTTCGACCTCTTTTTAGCGAACTTAAATATTCTTACAAATATCTTACATTAGATTATATACAAATATCCTATAAATACCTTCTTATAAATATAGTACTTAAATTATAATTAAAAATTTTTGTACATAAATTAACTAAAACTTTCGGCGCTGCGAGATTCGAACCTGCATTCTTCAGGTTTCGCGCCCAGACGCTTTACTGACTAAGCTAAGGATCACGGCGCGAAAATCTACGCACACCTATACGTTCGTAACACCTATTCGTTCGTGTATTGCATTTTTAGCAATGAGAATTATTTATCGAAATATTTTATAATATATCAATGACATTCTATATTACTTTGATATAATATAATTATTATTTTATCATCATAGGAGTACGATATACGTATCGTACTCTTTTCGTTTAGAAACAAAGCACTGTAGTGCTTTGTTTCTAAACGAAAATGATTTTCTTTTAAAATGAAATAAAATACATTCTTATTAGACTTATTTCAGTTTAATAAATTTACAACTGAATTATTTTTTTTATATGTTTTAACATTAAAACAATAACAAGGTACAACAAGATACACTAAAGGAATGCTATGTTTTGCCCATTCGAATTTTTCGATGAAGATCTTATGGATCTTAAAGTAGTTAATTTTACAGAAGAGGTATGATCCCGACGACCCGAAGCATGCAATCCTCCCGATTCCCTGTGAATTTTATTGTCAAAAACATTGAGTGTTGCAAACATTTTCGCATGAGAAGCCTAGAAGTAAAACACATGTTTTTTGTTGATGTGGTTGTTTATGTGTGAAGGTGGCAAGGGAGCAGGCGTTATGCCTGATGGCCCATTGGCATCTACACAATCGTGAGTTTACACGCATTGCAAAACAATAAGAGTGGGCCCCGGCTACCTCATTCACCAGGCGAAACACAGATGTCGTTACTTCCACTTCACGCCCGTCTTCTGTCATTACATGGAACTTAACTGGTCGAGCTGGCTCATTGTGTAACAGAAAAATCTGCTACGTAGCCCATCCACTGCTAAATAAATCCCTGGGGCAAATTATAATATTGAAAGAAATACCAGTCAAGTGCGAGTCGGACTACGCACGCAGGGTTCCGTACCTATAAAAGCAGCAAAAAAAATCATGTCTGTTGTATGGGAGCCCCAGTTAAATATTTTTATTCTGTTAAGTATTTTTTGTTAAACCGGCAACAGAAATACATCTTCTAAGAAAATTTCAACTGTCTAACTATCACGCTTCATGAGATGCAGACTAGTAACAGACGGACAGATAGACAGACAGCGAAGTAATAGGGTCCCGTTTTATCATTTGGGTACGGAACCCTAAAAATTATTAGAGAAAAGCCTTTTTCCTTATACTAATTTATAATGTTACTTTATTATTATATTTATTAAAATGTGTTTTATTGACAGAAAGTTAACTTAGTTAGTTAGCTTTTAAAAAAGTTTAGATTTTTAACAAAATGTACTTTAGAAAGACATGAAAGTGAACGAAGGAAGTATAGAGATAATGACTTTCTATTTTTTCGATAACTTACCTATCGCTTTGATAGCTGCGCTTCTTTTTTGGCCATAAATGGAAAGCGCCATATATGACAGGGTTAACCAGGCTATTTGACATACCAAAGAAGAAAATTGCAGTTAGTAAGTCATCGCCTACCTGAAAATCAAATAAAATTATTAAAAAAAAATGTAAATATGTAGTATTGATACCTATGTTTAATTTCCTGTAAAATAAATAATTACTATTTTATTATATTTGTTTAATGTATTTTTATATAATTTCATACGTGTGACCAAGATCGGTTACGTTTAGTCACTAAATTGAAAAGAATCTGAACTTGACAAGTGCTTTATTAGTGGACAAAGATACGTAATCGAGGAGTATGACTGAACCGATCGAAAATTACTGAGCAGTATAATTAAAGCTATTATTTCCAATTAGTTCAATAACACTTTGTTCTCTGAATACCGGAAAGATTAGGCCAGTTCTCATGTAAACAAGTTCCAACGAAATAAGGTTCGTCCGATTAAATTGAACGTATATGCCATTATTAAAATATTTTTTAAAGATTTGTGAAGTCCGCCAATCCGCAGTGGGGCCGCTTGGTGGACTATGACCCTCTGTACAGAGGAGGCCTTTGCCCAGCAGTGGGACATATATAAGCTGTCATTTACTTTTACTTTACATTATTATTCATTCAGGCTGAAATTTAGTTTACATAAAATAACTTATTTTAAATAATTTGCCAAAATCTTCCATTAAAATCAATCAATGCAAGCATTGCAACTTTTTAATGGAATGCTGATGAAATGCTTTAGTAACCTCTAAACCCCTATTTTGAAATTTTTCTGCTATTTTTCAATTACTCTAAATAAATCGTTTCGAATCAATCATCTTAATCTAATTCAAATATATCATGACTTAAAACAACACGTTTGTAAAGTATCGAAGGTCTTTCTTTATTCCCTGAACTTTTATTTTGTAAATGTAATGTTTTATTTTGAATGAAAGTAACCTCGATTCATATTCATTCTCCAATAAAGCAAGTACAAGGCAGCTAATAAAGATTAAATATAAAAATGAAGTCGTTTACTTACACTTTTTTCAGGGTTCAAAAATGTAAAAATGATCATCATTATGTAATAAGGTGTCCACCATATTACAAACGCTGTTACGATAACAACGGACATACGCAAGGACTTCATTTTTGCTCTATCCATAAGCCTCCTTCTGTTTATATCTAATGCTGAATATCTCTCTTGCCACTTGTTCTCTGTTTCAAAAAATTTTTTGCTCCCTAAAACAAATTAAAATGATACTAATAAATTATTTTCACCTCAACATAAGTAACAGCTCAAAAATATATTTATTTAAATTTTTCCTTTTCGAGTTATAGGAAAATTTCAGATTGAAGGGATCATTGATGATCCCTGCAGTGGGTATTGAAATAACTATTGGATATTAGGTCACGATGCCATCGTCAAAATTATATTTAAATGAACATAAACAAAATGAAAACACTAAAATTAAAAGCGTAGTCAAATGCTAATCCGCGTTCGTGCGTACATATGCGATAGATCTTCTAAGTATTGCCGAAAGTTATTTATTCTTTCTTAATTCTACTTCATATATAATGTTATATTTAATAAAGTCTATTTATTCTTATGATTTTAACTAAGTTCAATAACAGTATTTTTATAAGCTTCAGAATTGTCGAAGTGGGAATGATAAGTTTAACTATGATGATTCCATATCAATATGTTTAAATTAAACTTTTTATTATTATTAGGTCTAGCTGATGATTAATCTCAACTTCAATATTGATCAGTCTTCAACATTGAAATCAGGATAATTCTGTATTTGAGCCTCGCGGATTATCATTGGGAGGAATCAGTGCTCTTTTGCGAGGATTTGAGTTCTGTCGAATGTAATCTAGTAGATGGGGCGGTTCGAATAATATTATGAGCTGCCAATTTCTTCAACCGTCGATGCTTCACATTTGTTCCTTTATTATGGTCTTTATTGATTTATCAGTTTCTATTACATAATTTTATTTACCCATGTAAGTTCGCGGAAACAAAAAATCAAAAGTTACTTTTTTAGGCATGAATTCGAATCTTAAAAACGTATAGAAAACGATCGCATAAATTTTCGAAACTGCGGTCGAACCAACGCCTTTCGGACTACGCACCCCAAATCACTAAGCACTAAGCGGTCGACGTCCTCACTGCCCGAAATCGCCGCCTTATCTAATTTGTTTTTATTTCATTCGTAGCAATTCTTGGCGTTATCTAATGTGATCCCTTGACAGCAAAGACACTTTCTCAAATTACACAAATTACTAAAATTACAAATTACAAATTACTTTTTACAATGAATATTTGAAAGTTAGGGTTGTCGCCATTGCTGTTGAAATTAAATGTTTATTTTTTTTAATTTTATTTACTCATTTTTATATGACATCTTAAGGAATGCGAAAATTAACTGACTTAAAGAAGAATTTATGACATTACAAGTTCATTCTACATTTAGTGAATGGTTTCTAATCCATAATTTGGAAGTTCCAAAACCGACGTATTGTGTTGACCAGTAAACACAATGGCATGCGGTTTCGATTGATATGTGTAGGAATGCTATGAGGGGATTAGCGTTAGGAAATAGATTCATATTAGCAGTTAAATTGTAGCTTAAGTAATATACATCACTACAAAATTTTATCTCAATTCGAATGCAGCATTTCTTCCCATTAAATGGAAATTAACTAGTATTTCATTTAAATTGGAACGCCTTAGAAAACTTGGAATTTACGTATTTAAGGAATTTATAATTTAATTAAATTTTATATTTTATACGATGCGGATGTTTAAAAAAAAATTATAGAGTATTATGCTCTATTCCATGTCTTCTAGAAACTTGAACCCCTATATTCATAATAAAATAATAATTCAATAACTTAAAATTCCAAATCAAAGTTGATATTCGTAGAGTGGATGTATCGATAAAACAAAGGTCACTGGTATATGATTTTTGAGGGAACGCTTAAGCCAGTGGAGTTGTAAGTGACGAGGCAGGAATTGGGTGCCCCCTAGCGGCCTGATCTTTCTTGCGGATATGGCGCGAAGTGTTGCCGAAACAATATTTCTATTGAGTTTGCACACTTAACACGGAACGCAAATTCATTGAATGTAATACTTACTGTTCATAACAATAGGAATTTGATAAAGCAAAAAATAATACAGTTTTATGTTAGAGGAAATCACTTACGCGCTATAGTTCTTATAGTAGAAACGTAGGTTGAGATCAGAATTATCAAGGGGATAACAAACATAAACACGAATGACAAAGTGGTGTATGTTTGTTCTTGCCATTGCTCTGTGTAAAATCCGTGTGTCACGCATTGATGAAATTCTTCTACAAAGGGTCCCCGTGCAACTCTGAATATTATAGCCTAGAACAAAAAGCAATTAAGTTTTAATGAAATTACTCAGTAAAAAATTGTTATTTTTATTTATACAAAAGCAACTCGACACAATCTCGTGCACAATTCGATAAAATGGCAATATAATAAATACCAAGTGACATGTGAGATAATGAAATATTTTTTTTAAGAAAAGCAGAATCAAAGAACGTTTTACCTGAGGTATACTTAGGAGAAAACTTAGAATCCAGGCAATGGTTACTAATTTAGAACTGCGAGACTCAGTGGCTAAACTTTTCATTGGATACTTAACTGCTAACCAACGGTCAACACCAATAAGGACCAATATAAAAGTGCTGAGATATAATGCAAACATTTGTAATAATTTAAACATTTTACAAGCGAAATCACCAGCGTACCATTGCACTGAGATTGACCACAAGGCTTCACCACCCAAACAAAAAATGGTTACAAACAAATCTGCTATGCTCAGCTGAAATATTAAACGGTAAATTGCCGTCCACGATGGTCTGGTACGTCCTCTATTTTGATTGCCTCTTTTAACACTGATCAGTGTGATTACATTTCCAAGGAGTGAAAACACAGCCAATATTGAGAGTACACTTGCTTTCATAATTGTGATTCTTGTCAAAGTAGGAGCATGTTCCAGGCATAAAACATGTGAATTATTGAAAGCATAAACAACAGTACCCAAATCTTCGATTGAAGTCTTATTTAAAAGGCGGGCGTCTTGGCATTTTTCGATTGACCATACACTGTAATTCAATTTTCCGTAGAGTTGTTCTTGTAATATATAATCATTAGAATAGTTGTTCTTCACTTCGACCAATGGTGTAACCTCTTCGTAATTAATCATTTTTAACTATTTACAAGGCAGGTATATATTTTTATTTTCTGAAATAAATTAAAAGAAATTAAATTAAAAGAATAAATAAAATCATTCTTAATTTAAAATATACATTGATACTTTATTCGTACATATTGATTTATATTATTAATTGAACAAAGGTGTTTTAGTAACTTTTCTCAACAGGAAAAACAAGGTCTAAATCATGCACGAAATGTTCTTTTTACTTATTCTCCATATTCGTTTGCAACACGTCAATCTTTCTTAAGGAATGGATTTCTTTCATGAGAGTTTCCATAGTCCCATAATAAATGAGTTTTGAGGAAATGAGTTTGAATAGATGGGTTTTGTGTAAAAGTTTAGTAACGTATATTGGCGCTGGCAACACTGTATACCGGATATGACGTTATCTACTCGAGCCAAGGGACACATGGTCGCATGAAGCAGCGGTCACTTGGATTTCGGCTGCGTTCCCGGACGGTGATATAACCACTAGTGCTGCTTGTCGTTATATTAGTTGTTAATATTCAAGTTCAGTTATAGTTAAAATATTAGGATCAAGGTAAAAACGTTAGAACTCTTATACGTAGGATTAGTGATTTCGGTTATGAGAGAGCAATACAGTGAGCTTGTACCTAGAAAAGTACAATATCTAAGATTGTGGGTTCAAGTACAAGTGACATGCACTAAGAAAATTAAAGTTTAAGTCACGCCTCCATCTTTCTCTAATTTTTGTTTTTATTTTCAGGCTTGTGAGTAAAACTGACTTAGGAGTAAAAAAAAAAATTTTAAACCAGCATACGATACATAAACAACGGGCAGTTTGATTAAAAAAGAATTCCATTAGTCCATTACATAACATAAAAATTAATTCGGTATTGAAAAATCATTAATGAAATTATTTCATTAATGATTTTTCTTTATAATGAAATTTATGTTCGTTCGAAAAACGCACGGAAGCTAATGGAGAAAATACCTACCCATTTGGTATTTAAACGTTTAGAAGTGGGTGATAAAACTGTTTGGCATCCAAATACCAAATTTTAATAGAGCACCCTTTTAAGGTTGAATGAAAATGTGATTTTATATGTTCGATTATGGGTGTATTTCTGGGTACTTATAAAAACTGAATAAACACTTAAAAAAATTCGTACCTCGTATTGGTTTCTTATATTTCTTAGTAAATAAACACTGTTCTGTATTCCACGAGTAAATATTTTAAGCACTTAATGTATCGCTCGAGACATAAATGGAGCGGGAAATTTTTGTAAACAATGAAATTTTATAAAATGAAATTTCTGAAATCTTTTGTTGTATTTTTAAAGAAAATTATTGGGGAAAATAATAGAAATGACGGTGTCAAACATAATAGGCTGGAATAAAATACACATTTATTACAAATAATAAGTAATAAAATGTTTCACAAGAACTTGGACTACGCACACCGAAACTATCAAGAAATATCACCCGTACTTGAGATAAGACAAAAGTAAATTGAAAAATATTGGCTTTGTCTTTTTTTATATAGTGTCATAAACTATAAATACATTCCTCCTTTTACGTCAGTGAAATATAAAAGTAGTATTAACTAATATTCGTAGTATCTTAAACTAATTTATATTAAACTAGCTAGGCGCGCAACTTTTATATATATATAAAGATTTGTCACTTTCAAAAATAGTTTAACCAAAATGACAGCAAGATCACCGTTTAAAAAAGAAATCTTTTGCTCGTATTATATTAGTTTACAGTGCACAGGAAATGCAGTAGTGGGCAGGAAGGGCAGCGAATAATCCTTGCTATGATTAAAGAAAAAATAATCTTTATAGTTAAAGTTTTAAGATGTAGCGAAAGTCGAAGTTTACGTGAAGATAACGGCCGAATATGAACGTTCACAATTCAGACGACATAATGTGACGTATTAGTTTAGTTTCGAAAGGAAAGGACTCCGGATTCCTCATTAATTCATACGACATTCAAAGCCATTAAAATCTTGAATTAATCTTTCTCTGACATAGCATAATTCGAGTAAAATACGTACTTCACCCTAAAGCAAATAAAACATTAGTTCCCGAGATATGAGCTATCTGATCTGTATGGCTCAGGATCATGGGAGTCTGTGGGGGATTTCTATGTTCAGCAGTGGACTCAAATAAGCTGAAACAACGATTATGACGAGGGAGTAAAAACAATCCTCATTTAGAAAAATGTTTCTCTTTTTAAACAACTTGTGCACATGGAAGAGTGAGATTTGGAATGATTACCATATAAGTTTATCATAAAGTTATGGACAAGGGATGCAGAAAGTTAAAATTATATTTTCCAAATGTTTTCGATTACATAAGTGTGTTATGTTAAATTCCTACTGTTCAATGACATCCTATATATAATACAGTGCGTGGTGTCAAAGTTTTCCGCGAAATAATGTTGGCTTTTGAATTGAAACATTAGACCGACTGAATAACTTTCCAGACATAGAATACGGTAAAATTTTAACTACCAGGCGACCACTAGTTGATATAATATCATCAGTTACAGACAGAGACATTTGAATAGATCAAAGTTACTGAGACAGTTCTATTTTATGCTGGTTTCCTTATTTATTTTTTACCTTTCATCTATAATCAGTACTACTTCAAAGGTATCGACGAAATTCATTCATCCACGAGATAAATAAGTCATACCCCTTTTAACAAGTAACTTTTATGAACGATTACAATTTTGAACGGAAATTTTATATCGTATTTCATTTAGATTACTTGAGATAGTAACCTAACATAGTATGCAGGTCCATTCTTACTGAATTATTCACATAATATCAAAACTATCTATCTTTTATGTTATTTATCTGTTATATCTTAAAAGTCTATCTGCGGCATAAATACCATTATTAACTTTCAAATAAAAAATATTGAGTGGCATGAGGACAAAACAAAACCTTCGCTTAAACATCATTAAGCTTGAAAACGTGAAATTCTTTAATGAATACTACTCATCATTAACTAAAAAAATCAAGTGGAATCTACTATGAAATATGGAAACCCAACAACAGACTTTTTTACGATCAGGGACGGAAATGTAAATCACAAAATAAGTTGTACGTTTATTTGAATGATTTTATCAGAAAAGATCTTCATATGAGTGTAAAAACCTAATAATAGATAGACGATATATCCGCTTTCTGTTGTTTATACAATAGCACAAACATTCTCCTCGATTGACTGATGAGGGTTTGCGGAAAACGTTTTAAATTTTTCACAATTTCCATGACCTCTGATTCATTTATACGCACATATAAACATTATATGAATGCATTAACTATATTATAATGACTATAGATTTAAAATGTGTTTAGCATAATTATAGGTTTATTAATTTCCTCTTTATTAATTTCTTATAAAATATTATTTGTGTAATATATCCACTACAGTAGGTCTACGTTAGTTACTTTACCTTTTAAAAATGTTCAAACAGAGTTACACTGTGCAATTTAAACAACACTTACACTAAAAAAATCATCAAGTTTCCCTAAGATAGCTTACTTTTATTTTGGATATTTGCTAATATAATTCATTGTCATATTAATTTTATATAAGTAAGTTTGAAGTAGTATTAATTTTAAGAGTTATTTTATTTTCATACATAATACGTTCAACGCACACACAGTATATAAGTATAAATCATCAATATGTAACTTGGCATTTGAAAAACTTGACTCTTTGTCTAACACACGCCTTAACGCGACGATTTACGAAACGATACTGCCGGTTGGTAGTCCATAGATGTTCGCTCAACGAAATTTACTACTCGGTGTAACTACGAATAAAATTATACCCGTCTTCTTCGAAATAATTGTGTGTCGCAAATAACTTATTGTCCCAGGTGTTTCCTCAGATGTTTTCATTTCTTTTGTGTATTAGATGATATTAAAATATTTTTTTAATCAATATAATAAATGATTCACAGGTTTTGAAAAGCAAACGAAATAATTTATGACATTGTTATAAATAAATGATATATAAATAACCATGACTGTGTAAAATATATATTGCAGCAAATTTTACGTTAAGGTTATTAACTTAGTGAAAATTATCATGTTCGTAATTCATCGGCCACTTTAGGAAACAATCATGTTTCCGGAATGACTAAATCTCATAACATTATGTACGTTTAAGTAAAGCTTGCGGTAAATGGCAATTTAATTATGATAATTGAACTGAAGATTATAATTACGTATATTCTAGATATTATATTAAAAAAATGATTAATAAAACATGGATTGACAGAACATATAATGAATGTAGTGACAATATTATTGCATTACTATATTTGTATGCACTTTATCCTTATTTTTTTATGTGAAAAGTTGTCAAGTGAGAGAAAATATTGTAACAAGTTCTAACGTTATGTTTCTCTTTCAATAACGGCTGAAA